ATTTTTTCCCCCCTCTTGTGTTAACTCGGAGGTTAGAAAATCCTACACTAGCTAAAGTCATTGTTTCAGGGCTGAACAGATGCAAGATATCTTCTTGCACTACGGGAAGACCTGTCATTTAGATGTCTTCCTGTAAGCTTGATGTGAAACTATCAAATGTCACAAGAAACTCGTACAGCAGTCCAATAAAAAATGTGAACTGTCACAATTTTTCAAAATGCAGAATGTACATGCAAACTAAAAATAGTTTTGTTATTCTTTTTTGGGATCCCTGGTGATTTCCACTCGTACCGTCAGCACCAGTCCTGGGTGATCAGGGCGAATGGAAGTGTTATTATGACACTGGTAAACAGTAAAGTGGAAAAGTTCTTGTGAATTCTGTCTGTTCGCATGATGTATTTGCAGATCTTGATAGTTCAGTAGGGAACGTTAGCTTGACCTCTAGCCTCTTTGAACTGGTGAAAGTAATATGGGTGAAAAACAGCAGCTAAAGACATTGAGGAGGAGAGCAGGAAACGAATCAAGTGAAAGAATGTACTTCTGTCTGATTGTGTGATGGGGAGTCATCATTTCCCTCCAAGGCCGACTGATAAAATCCAAGTGCACTGTTGCCCGTTGACTAAAAGTCCCAGAAATCCCCTTTCCTTGCATTCTGTGTTTCAATCAGATAGGATATGAAAGGAATTTAGATTAGGATTTCATGCAGGATATGAACCTTTCATTAAACTTTTAGCTGTGTTAAAGTAAGAAACCGATTCATAAATTAAATAAATACTGTTTTCAATTAAATCAGAAACTAAAATTAAACTTTTTTTTTGGGGTGGTAGGTTTTGGCTTAATCTGTAGTAATTATATTTAGCCATGTTTAAAAACAATAGGCCTCAATGATATGTGTGTGTGTGTGTGTACATAGCTATACTTCAGTTCAGAAGTCAGCTAAATCTGACATAACCTCAATTTGGGAATTGTGCTTATTTGTAAAAACAATATTTAAATAGTTTAAAAAAAATACTCAAAAAAATGTGTGTGTGTGTGTGAGAGAGAGAATTAATGAGGATGGGGGGCTCTGCTATGGAGATTCCTCATTTCTCTTAGACTCCATTCACTCATTTCTCTCATTCTCAACAAGATGCCCAAGGCTCTGTGTGTTTTTGGAGTGTGTGAGTTTGTGTGCAGTTGTTATTGTGAGTGGGATATGTGTAAGCTGTCTCTCTCTCTCTCTCTCTCTCTCTCTCTCTCTCTCTCTCTCTCTCTCTCTCTCTTCTCTCTCTCTCTCTCTCTCTCTCTCTCTCTCTCTCTCTCTCTCTCTCGCAGACAAAGAGCCACTTGTGGGAGCTCTGCCTTGAGAGTGGACAATCACATGACCACCGCACTCTATACATACACCCGACGTCTCCATATTGAGTGTGTGTGTGTGTGTGTCTGTTTAATGAGAGATAGGTGACTACATTTTCCCGTTGGATATGTTACACACCAAAAATAAAACTGAACTTTCCAGTCTTTAAATTGTAAAATATGGTCTGTGTGTTGTGTATATATAAGTAGCCGTTGTTGGTCCATTGTGGAGGTTAGACTTAATGCCAAGACATGTGATTACAGCCCCTTCTCAGAATGTAGGCGCTTGTGTGTTAAGAGGTGTCTGTGTCTATGTCTCTCTCTCTCTCTCTCTCTCTCTCCCTCCCTCTTGAATGAGGCTGATTTGCATGGCTGCTGTATTCAGTATTTAATTGGTGCCATTCAGTCCTGGTCTAATCCCGTGTTCACTTGTTTAAAAAGCGAGGAGGCCTCTTATTGAGTGTGTGTGTGTGTGTGTGTGTGTAAGCTTGTGGGTCTAACTCTGTTTCACACAGTGCACAGAAACTGAAGTGTATGTGTGTGTGTGTGTGTGTGTGTGGATAATTACATTTACAATTTGAATTAAGACATCTCCCCCACTCTCTAATGTGCTACTGATTTAATTCAATTTTAAGCAGGAAATAGCGTTTGTTTATTATCCAAGTCTTTCTAGAATTTTGTTATTCTGTCTGGTTCCTTAAATATTTTTTCATATATATTTAATTTTTTACATTCATTTGAATTACACAGTGTAAAACACGTAAGAGTAACTTTCATGTATAACAATTAATGAGAATTGTTACTTTATATAAACCTGAACAGATCTTTAATGCACAATCAAACTGTAAGAAATATATGATGCATTATATAATGGTTGTTATTGAGTTAGGAATAATTTGAAAGTTCTATAATTATTAATAACTATAATTAATTATGTATATTAATGTATTATATTCATATCAATATTTTGATTTAAAAGTTTAATAGTAATTCAACTTTGGAGTGGAGTAAACAAGCCTTAATTAAAAATAAAATAACACTATGTCTGACGCACACAACACAAACGCATGGCGCATTCACACACACAGGGACACAAACTTCTTAACTTCCTCTAGGAACAGGAAGGGTTACCTAAACGATTATAAATTTGCTGGTGAGATCTTCTCAGAATCGGCGCTGTGTGTTTCCTCTGAGCTTCCAACACACACACATTCGCAAACAATCCCTCTCAGGTCCTGCTTCTGAAATTCTCAGTCTGCAGCAGCTGCTGATTTGACAGGAAGTGATGAAGTCTTTTCTTCAAAGTTGAGGAGGTCAGATTCCTCCTCCTCCTCGCTCGCTTTCTCTTTCTGTTTCTGATTTGTTCAGTCATAGCTGGCCGTCAGAGGAAGGGCACGAGTTTGACATCTTCATTGATGGGGAAAAAAGAGAGGGATGAAAAGAGAATCTAGAAACAGAGGGATAAAAGAAAGGGATAGACAGGAACAGAGAAGAGGCCGCAGACAGAGGAGGCAAATGTCACACAAAGAGTTTAACCCTGCAAAACTTCTTAAGTCATGCTAATCTCTTATTTTCTCACGCGCACACACAGATATTCTCTAATTCTGCATGTCAACGCCTCATATCTGCTTTTATGAACTGCTACATTTGACTAGAATCGTTAATCTCTGGGGCTGCTCGCCTACTACCTCATAATATGATACATTTTGCACATGTATATCACTATTTAATATGTCAGAGATAATCATTAGTTATTTAATATAATAAACCCATTATATATGTATGTTTATTGGTATTTAGTGTTTTATTTTCAATACCCTTCAAAGGCTGGGGGTTAGTAATTTTGATGTTTTTGAAGATTTCAAATGTTTTTGAAAGAAGTCTCTTATGCTCACCTAGGCAGCATGATCAAAAATACAGTAAAAACTGTACATTTGTGAAATATTAACTATTTAAAACAACTGTTTTATTTTTGAATATATTTTACAATTTAATTTATTCATGTGATGGCAAAGCTGAATTTCCAGCATCAATACTCCAGTCTTCAGTGTCACATGATCCTTCAGAAATCACTCTAATATGATGATTTGGTGCTTAAGAACCATTTCTTATAATTATCCATGTTAAAAACAGTTGTTCTGCTTAATATTTTTGTGGAAACAGTTGTTTCTTTCAGGATTCTTTGATGAATAGATCATTCAAAACAGCATTATTTGAAATGGAAATCTTTTGTAACAGTAAAAATATGTCATATTTGATCAATGTAATGCATTCTTGCTGAATAGAAATATGAATTTCTTTTAAAAAAATCTTACTGACTCAACAGTAGTGTTTATATATCCAATAACAACCTTTACCGATGCATTAAAAATCTCTAATATTATATTGGTTGACAACTGATATGGCACTGATATATTTTGCACACTTTTCTGAAATCCCCGAATTTACATGCCGCATACTATTTGCTGTGGTTTGTTTTTAAATGACATTTTTTAGCTATTGATGCATTTCCTCTCTACTCTTTTCAATGAGAGCACTGTAAGCTATCATAACTGTGTGTATTCTTGTTTATATAAGTCTATCTTTCCCCATTGTTTCCCTTCTTCTCACTGAGAACATAATTGTGCTTCTCAATGGCCATAATCACTCAGTCATAATTGGATTTCACAATCCTGCACACACCTCAGACACAGACACAAGCATGTGAACGCACATACAGCATGTTTTGTGAAATAGACGGAAGTCTGTGCCCCAGTAAAAGGTTTTTGTTGTTAATCCGTCTGTGAAGATGTTTTGTGCGCTCTTATGTGTGTTAAACCAGCGAACAGCCTGCAGCGAAGAGTGTGTGCACACGAGAACAGAAAAAAACAGCAGAATTACATTATACAGAGACAATATTTGAGTTTGATCAGGGCCATATATCAGGGAAACATACGTTCTCCTGATGTGTTTTTGTATGTGTGCATGTCTTTTTCATTAGAGCGTGTGTGTGTTTTTTTTGCATACGCTGTTGTAGTTTTAGGGGATTTCTGTTTTTGTCTGTGCATATGTGTATATGTAGTTTTAGGGCATGTCTGTGTGTGTTTGCTTTTGTTCTTGTGTGTGTTTGTGTGCGGTTAGCAGTAAAATGTGTGAAGGACTGTGTTGTAATCGTCTCTCCTTACAGACACATATTGATGGGGGTGTACACACACACACACACACACACACACACAAACTAGTCAGTGTTACTAAGAATGGATAATATATTCCCTGAATGTGCGAGCAGGGTTGATCAGCACATGAACAATAAATTATAAACTCTAATAAATTAAGTGAGATGCTTCTATTTCCCTGTCCAATAAATCCTAGTCAGCAGATTCAGCTCCATCTCCATCCAGCTCATTTCTGACTCTGCTCTTCTGTTGCTCTCTTTCTTTCATATTTGGAATTGTTTAATATTTTGAAATATGTTATTAAATGGAAAAAAGAAACGCCGATAGTCCCTCTGGAGCGTTTTGTGGAGGTTCTTGGCAGTCTGGACTACTCAGAGGGCTATTTGAACCCAAGTTTTTCCTCTCATGATTGAGTCCACAGAGATGCAGATTCTACTGACATTCAGTCTCAGAGAGGATTGTTTAAATGTGTTTGTGATTTATTGTAACTTTATATGCTTTGTGTTGCAGGTTTGTGTCCGGGAAGGGCTTGGTGATCTACCCGGAAATTGGTGACAAACTGGACATTATCTGCCCCAAAGGGGACATTGGGAGACCGTATGAGTTTTATAAACTCTACCTGGTGAAGAAAGAGCAGGCCGAGTCCTGCAGCACCATACTGGACCCCAATGTTCTGGTGACCTGCAACAAACCAGAGAAAGACATCAAATTCACCATCAAGTTCCAGGAGTTCAGTCCAAACTACATGGGACTTGAATTCAAACGCTTCACAAACTATTACATCACCTGTAAGTAAATCCAGCTTTTCTGTATTTGTCTAACCTACCTCTACTTTTGGGAACAAATTTGCATTCATTCAGAAATATTTGCAAAAATTTTACCTTTAGGGATGCAACATATTGTTGCTGGGGCAGTACCCTTAAAGGGACTTTACCCCTAAAAGTTGCATATTAGAACCCTTAGGGACAGATTTTTTAACAGCTTGCACCAGCGCAAACCCTGTTTTGGCATCAACTACTGTCAGGATTTACTAAAGACACGCAGTGAACAATTAGCGCTGAATAGACGTGGACAGGGTTATTTTTGTGGCTGACCTTATTGCATATGCATTTATAGGAGTTTCCCTTTCAGAAGCCAAATTTATGGGAGGAGAGTATTTAAATGAATCATGCAAGGTGATTTTCTAAGGTTTGCGCTCATCAATTGACTGGTATTTGCGCCATTATTCACCACTCAAAAAAGCATGTCTTAAACCAGACACTAATTTGCGCTGCTCTCGGTAGATTGCGTTAGTCATTATGGAAATGATCCGGCTGCGTATGTGTTCTTTAATTTGCACGTTGTCAGTAGATCATGCGCAGAACTTTACACTCCCATCGGCACATTTTTGGAATTGCGTTCTCACGCTAATTTGCCCTGTTTAGTAAATTTGGCCCTAAGGCTACTGCCCCGTGGACAAGCTGTTGTATTTTAGATAGCTTACTAAACGTGTGTTTGGGTCAGGTTCTTGTCTACCTTATGGGGTCCAAATGTCCCCAAAATGTTAGTAAAACTGGAAATCACATTGGGTCTCATTCATGAAACACGAGCAGAACGAATTTTTGTGTAAAAATGTTCGTATTTTCCAAATGTTAGTTGGTACGAAAGAAATCTACACCTGCTCCCAGCCACGCGTAAATAGTGAGTTTAACATCCGAACGTTTAGCTGCATTTTAATTCACCTTAATCGGGTACATATTTACACAGCATCTTGAAAAAATATTATATATAGTAATTACATAAGTTTTTTCTTTTTACTTTTATTATGAGAGCCAGTAATAGCATTTTTTCTCGAAGTGAACTAATTTGTTTTTTGCAGTCAAGCTTCATGTCGAACCATTTTCTTTTCACTTCTGGGACTGTTCGATATTAACAGATGAAACTCCATTCACTGCATCTGTAATGCTGCCAAGCTTCCTTATTTTAGGACCTGATACGCCACTATGTAGCCTACGCTTGAAAATAAAATGTGGCGTTTTGAACTTCTGATAATAAAACTTCAATTTCAGCATCTGAGAAATGTTTCTTTTTCATTCGCTTTTGAGAAGACATGTTGAAATCCTTCGTTTGGTGTCATAATATGATGTAAAAGGAATTGGAATGTCCGCAACACTGCTCTATGCTCCCATATTTAATAAAAAAGCAACGTATGGGAATATGATGCCCATATATAGTTGTCAGTCGGATTTAATGGGCGGGATTTATGGTAATTGAGAATGAGCGTGCACGCGCGTCCCATTTACGACTGATTGGAATTCATTAACACACACACACACATTTCACTCTCACATCTGACGTTTACGAAGTATTTGTGAATCAGGAGAAGAGTTTTCGGGAAGGTCTCTTTACGCGCAAATCACTCACATATTTACTCGTATATTTACGAATGTTTTATGAATGAGACCCATTGTGTGGACCAGCAAAAGGCCCTCAGACTATGTGATGGTTTAGGGTAGGGTTAAGGAATAGAAAATTTCATTAGCGCAATATAGAAACAGTAGAAGTCAATGGAAAGTGTGTGTGTGTGTGTGTAATATATGGAAGCCGTTTCTGCCTTAGAGTAAAAAATAAAATGGGTATTTGAAATAGTTTAAAATAAGGGATAAATAAACTCACATTGTAATACAACGTGTGGGCAATTAAGTCACAAATAGAGTTAGAAAGGCACGAACAGGCTTTCATAGTAATGGTAGTATGTTTGTGTAAATCTGCAAATGCCACAGTCAAGCTTTTGTGAAAGGTTTTCAGTGAGGGATGATTTTCCAGCCACAAACAGCACGCAACAGTTGAACTGAAGCGCTGACTAATGATTCATTCAGAATTAAAGATTTCTAACACATTCAGCATAAATGCATGCTAAACCCTTAGCATGCGATATGAAAACAGCAGGGAACAGCGTGGTAAATGTAACACACTCCTTTTCTCTTTACCCCGCTTTCTTTTTTTAACTCTTTCCCCAAGGATGGTGGGAGGTAGAGACACTTTCAGTCAGGCATGTCTCATTGGTTGTTTTGCCTCACTGAGTTTTTGGTCTCTTGGCCATGATGCCCAGACATGTCCCATAATCCACTTCACCTCCACTGACCCATCACCACAACTACACCCCCAGAAAGCAGCAGGGCTGCTATTAGATCCAGTAAAACACTCTCTCTCTGTCTCTCTCTCTCTCTGTCTCTCTCTCTCACACGCACACACACACACACACACACATACACACACACTCCCTAGCAACCAGCTCCTTTATCTTGCTCTGGTAAACAGGATGAGTCTGGTTAAAATAATTTTGCTGAAATGTGTTTGTGTTCTGGGTTCAGTGGTTTTTGCTGTCTGGTCATCTTGTTTTCACTGGTCATTCAAGTTAATAACTCAGCGAGAGACTTTAGAGCGTGACAGTTTCACACGCATCCATTCGCTCCTCAGCAAAAGCCTCTTGAGTTGTTTTTCTACAATGTGTGCTATTGGTATGTCGCATTTACATTGTTTACATACAGTGAAGTCCCTGAACTGATTGTACTTTGGCATAAGTGTAGATGCAGTTTAATATAAAACTCCCCGTTTGTGTGTTAAATGTAAGCAGGATGTTTCCAGACATCTAAACTGACCACTCAAACTAGAATCCTTTTTTAAAACACACACAAACTCAAGAAAAGCATATTGAACTAATTATGCTCTCAAAATTCCTAAGTAAAAAAGCATTTACTGTGTAGAATTATACCCGTCGTACTCGCACTACTTGTGGTTAAGGTTTATGGTGTGTTTTAATTATTACATTAATGATATTTTGTTAGCACCATGTTGTTGTGTGGTTTGATAATGAATAGTTAGTTATTAGCATTTAGCTTGTTGTGATAGTGCCTGAGCAAATGGATGCAGCTGCAGACCTCATTAATACTGACACATCATTAGGCGTCGCCTTGAGGGTGTCTGTCAGGCTTTTTTGGTTGCTACAGCGTCACTCCAGGTGCTTTTTATCCGTCCACGAGAATCTGCTGTTTCTCCTGTCACTATATTATACTTTTTCGGCTTGGTGTCGAGTTTCTTTCTCTCAACCTCTGTGCCTCTCCTGTACCCTCACAGTATGTTGATTTCTATGATGCTTGCTGACTATGTTTCCTTTTCCAGCAGAGATCAACACTCACCATATCGTCATGCCACCCGCGTCGTACCCTAAAACGGCCCCTTTAATCCATTTGAGGAAGGACTGTCGAGCTCTTTGATTCTCTCTTTATAGTTCAGCTGCACCCTCCATTTCGTCTGTAATTTAAATTGAAATCTTTCAGGACATGTTATAGTATAAATCTAGATTTAGAGATTTGAATGATCGGCTCATATATAGAAGGCTGCACACGTCCCAGGATTCTCAAGTCGATATGCAGACAATGTAGTCCCTACAGAGGTTCAGTGCATTGGCTCCAGAGGCCAACTCAGCGTCTTGAAATCTCCTCGCTCCTTTCCTTTATCCGTGTAACTATTTGTCAAATCGTCTCCAGTCTGTCTGCAGAGGTTCTTTGAAGCAGGCCGGGTCTGCGCTCACGTATCTTTGTCTCAGCCTCCGAGTCATACGTGTTAACTTTATCCTCTCTAGCTGTGCCGCAACATTTAGCTCAAGTGCTCCAGTCACCCTGTGCTGTTCCCTAAATTATTATAATTTTTTTTTAATCAGTAAAAATATCCTTTAAAAAACATTACATTTGCAAAAGGGTGTAAAGTTATAAGACTTGTTTTCGGAGAATATATTTTGCTTCCATTTTATTTCCCTTACCACATTGGCATTATTTAAATAAATTTCACATAAACATAAATCTAACAAATTTAGTTTATGCTTAAGGTTGAAAAGTGAGGTTTATGCTCAAAACAATTAAAAACAGTTAGCCACTGGGGTGAGAAAAATAATCTTCAAGATTAAATTGCATCTCAAATCGCTAGTATTCTATTTTTGTTTCCAGACTCTGTCATGTAATGTCTGTTACAATAATGTTTACTGTAAATAAAACTGTTTATTAGCATTGTTGTTGTTTTTAAATTAGTTTAAGACACATGAACAAGTTGGCCAGTCACTCAATTTCAAAACTAATATTAACAACCCAATATCATTTAAATACTTTTGGTTTCAGGATGTTTTGCTTTTTATTGGAAAACAAGATAAAAATGTAGATGAAAAAAGTTGTGTGGTGCTCATTCGGGTAATACTAACCAGTGAAATAAAATATATTTCTTATTTAGGTTCTTTTGTAATCAAAATCATTTAGGCATAAGTACAAAAATATGCAGTCCTTTTGACATCGCTTTCATACATGCGTTAAGTTATGTGTGTTTTTATTGTTTGGGTATTTTTCTATGTCTGGACTGGGGTCAGTAAGTCTGTGCTTGGTCAGATTCTGTGTCTGTTTCTAATTGTGAAGAGAGATTCTGAGAATTCACTGTCTTTTATGGCCTGGTTTAATTCCAGTATGTCTTCCAGAAAGACACTGTGCTGATCATGTCACTCTTGTGTGGATTCATGAAGCAGTGCAGGTTTGAAATGGATCCTGGCTCATTGTTTGAGGGCGGCTTCAGAACCTGAATTCAATTCAGAACCATTTGGATAAAAGTGATTTGAGCTCTCGTGTTTCTCGTGATTTAGTAGCGTTTCTAAACGATTTCTGAATTTTAGGGACCTGATCATGATATTTACTTTGACAGAGATCAGCTCTGACCCCACGTTTAAAAGAAAATTGATTTAGAAACCAAACCACACCATTTACTCATT